TCGATCATAAGCATCCCCAGCTGTTTCAGGCGTACGAACGCTCCCGCGACTCTAGCGCCAGCTCTAAGAAAGTATGGATATCGATCTAGCCATCGTCCACCAGCGTACAGTAGCGTCCAGGAAAAAAGAGAGTATGGGAAACCAGGAGGGTGACAGAGAGCTGGATTAGGCGTAGAAGTGAATGAATTTTGCGGCGCATAATTTCACACAGCACAACTGCTAAAGCACAGAATTATGCAGTCCTTATGTACGATGTAGTGCAGTTGTAAGGTGCGTTTATACACGCTTTGATTTCACGACGCCTAATCCAGCTATGTGCTATCTTCCTACTTCCCCATTCTCTTGGATGCTTCTGTACGCTGGCAAATTCTGGAGGACGCTGGCATTAAATTCAATTTTCAATTTATTACACGCGCAAGCACGTGGTACCCAAAAAACAACATAACAGAGAGCAGATCTAGTAAATCCAACAAAAAAGAAGACAAATTCGCTAGATCGACACCTACCCTTTCCTAGTCGCAGGCGCTAACGTTCGCTCGAAACACTGATACAGGCTGGTGGACGCTGCAGCAAAGTATGAACGCAGCCTTGGGAGGGTGTAACAGAACAAAATCGTAGAGATATTGAAAATATTGGTTAAAAATGATTACTTGCTTGCAGCTGATTTTATAACATTGGGTAATTCAGCTAAATAAGCTAATCAACAAACATGAGCGTACCTGCCAGAAGAGCGGCCGTAATTAGGTAAACGGAAGCTCGAGCAGTTTTCGCAAGAGTATCTCCAATTACAAATGGACGTGCGTAATCCTGGACCACTCCTTGCACTCCCCTAAAGGAAGGCATTAAGTAAATAATTAATTAACCATAACAATTTGAAAGAAAAGCACTAATTTTAATCGAAAAACAAACTATTTCATAAAACGTGTCTACCAGTGGATGTGGAGAGTGAGAGCAACGGTAAGTACCGCATCCATCACTGGGCCATGGATGAAATAGGCAGCAGGGAATAGCGGCACCATAGCAGCAGCGAAATAGCGTTCAATCTAAAGTTATAAAGTAGTTAAGTGCAAAAACAAAGCTGGAAATGCACATGAATTAAACACTGCAGTTATATTTTCTCTTTATCAGCATTTATCCATTTTTTCAGGTCCAAAACAGTTCTTCCACATTGTTTTCAAAACAGTATCATCCACCCTTCTATTAGGTTGGTCGAAAAGTCCTGCGACACTTTGACCAATTTTTCGGACTAAATTTTCAGTCACTAAAAGACATCTCCAATCTACAAGGTAATCACCACTAAGGACTAGTGCCCTTCTTTTGCACAGCTTCTCATTTCCATTCTTATAGAACTACGGCAACTATGATAAGAAGAAGAGGTGGACCTCATTTTTGAGTAGACGTCGATTTTCGGAATTTTTGCCTTCTTAAGGATGCGGTAGGGATCAAAAAAGGTAGTAGTTAGAGACTGCTAACTTTGATGAATAAGCTGGGTATGGTCGCATTCTCAGATCGAGATCCACGATCTTTTGGTGTGGCCTGATCTTAACATGCGGTCTTCGCAATGCCGAGCGCTAGAGAAAAATTGAGTATTTTTGAAGAATTCAAGCGTGACGTCATCCATGTTGTGAGGTTGGTTAGAGAGGACTGTAGTCCTTACCGTTATGCTAGTATCCAGAGATACCGCTTTGAAGTCCCACCAATAACCTACTGAAATCTTTTCCCATGCACATGTGCTTTTGGCTGTGCAATCTACTTTTCTGTTCGAGAGATCCTGCGAGGAACATGTGCAAGATGTACGCAAGGACCCCACCACTCTCTACCAACCACAAGATCTCACAAATGTTCCTCCAGTGTGTACAAGGAAAAAAAACTCAGTCACGGTCATTCGGTATGACTTGTCAGAGGGGTTCAACTCATGAGGCATCCTTCATAAAAAATTTTTCCGATAACCGAGACTGCGGAGAAGCATGGCAGTTGTCAGTTAGGTGGAGCCTAGAGAGGTTGCCAACTTACTGGTGGTTACGTTCGGCTGCGCCTCAAGAAGCTTGAGTAAAGGGCCGTCATTCTGTGCTGGTGGCCGACCTATACATTGCCTACTTCCGAGTTGAATAAGTCCAGCCTGGAAGCGCTGATGCAAAAGGAACTCTCTGCTATGGCAAGCGATATCCTTCCTCAAGACAACGTAAGTGTTAGCTTCCTCGACTATGGCGGAGTTGCCCTACAGGAACTCATAATATGGGATAGGTCGAGAAGTACCTCGATCTTTGAGGTATTTTTAAGCTTTGAAAACTTCCACGGAGCCATGATATACCCATTTTCAGAAACCAGGAGACATTCTCCACTAATCAGAGATAAAAACATTCAAAATGATTTTTGGTCTTTTTCTAGAATAGTTCAAACAAAGTGTCGCAGGACTTTTCGACCAACCTAATAATTAAAGACTTAACAGACTAATAACAGACCAGTGGGAATTTGAGGAGATAGAGCAAGTTGCTTAGAAAGATACTAGGCATTGCATAGCAATTTTGGCGGCGCAGTATCCCCCGGTTGGAGTTTCTACGCCACACCAGTAAAATATTGCCTTTCAGGGTTCAAAATACCTCGAGGACTATATTTTGGCCAGCTGTGCTCCTCAAAGAAAATTTCGATCAAAATCTGTAATTCGCATATTGGGGCAGTGAATGGTTGATAAATCACGGCACGTCCTACGTTGGACGTCCCCAACTACCAGCTATGAGGGTCTTATTCGATTTTTGAAGGGATGGAGTGTAAGATGCCTCTGAGGAAAATGTTTTCAGTTTCTGATTTCTCTGTTTTTTTTTTCTACTTGGCAGCCACTCCCCTGTTCGATGGCGGTTGTTTGACGAAAAATGGAGGGCTTTTAGAGAAAATAAAAAACTTCGAAAAAGTGGAGAGTGGGACAATTTAGGAACATCGTAAGTAGCATGGGGGATGATGATGAGGATCGCACCAGAGACGGAACTTTCAAGGAAGGGGGGTCGCATTTTGTCACAAATTTTCTCAGTGGCATTGATGCCAGTTATTGATATTTCAAGATATGAACCCAAAATTGCATTGTCCTACACGAAACACACGCAACTTTCGAGATGAAGGTGCGCCCTACGAATACGCTTAGGATCCAGGAAAATAGGGTACTTGAAGGACTCGTGATGACAGAAATGTTCCAGATTAATAAAAGTTGTAATTTTTGAGATACTTCGAAAAGAAGATCACTCAGTCTCGAAAAGGTGCCAGATATGCGATCAATAACACAAGAATAGTAATTATTTCGAGAACTGTGTTCACGAGGCAGTGTGTAAGAAGGTGTAAACTCCTCATGTAACATGGCAGCCGGTTTTGGCGAGAACCTTTATCAGCAGGCTTAGCGCCCCAGTAACGCTTTTTCCAACCCACGTGTGTTTGCTACGTGTGTTTCACTTGCAATACATCGAAAACACATGTTTTCCAACAAAAAAGAAGACTCTAACACTGCCAAACGTTTAACCAAACTATAACATTTGCACAGAAGAGTTTGTAACGGATATTTTCGGCAATTATCAAGAGGTGCTCTATAGAAACCCCTGAAAATTGCTCGTTTTCGCTTGTTCTGTTACAGTTTACAGAACAAATGCTCATAAGGATAACAATATAATCCAAATGGTGGCAAACTGGTTCAAACCCACCTTAAAGTGAAGAGAATGGTCATGGGTTTTGTTTGCACCGTCGTCGAGAGTGCTAGGGAGAGAACGAACGGCAGAAGTGCTCACTGGAGTACAGAGACGGGGCATCTGTCGGGCAGCCAGAAGCGCTCTGTGTGCACGAGCGACATGGCGCAAAGTAATAGACATCACTGAAAACATAAAAATAAACAGAAAGAAGCATATATTCTTCTGAAATCATGATAATCAGCACAACGCGAACGAAAACAAACTTCAAATGTGGTAATTAATATTGTCCGCTTAGACAGAACATGACAGACATATATACCATAGAAAAACAAAAGTACATCATCGGTGGTGATCGAACCAAGGACACGTTATTGCGAAACCACAGTAGCACGACAAGACGTTATTTTTGGTAAGAAACCGTGGAATCCCTTCACTTTCCTGTACAAGTTCCAGCTTAATTCACGTACAGTTCGCCGAGGAATGTGAGGATGTGAGCTCGCATATATTGGCTGCGACACACATTTCACATTTTATTTATTACTGCAACAGATCGCAAAGATGAATTACTAACTACACCAGTTACTAGTTCAAAACGAAGAATTTAACAATCATCGCGAAATGAACTTCCAAACTGACTTATGTACAGTGTTTTTCATTGCGGATGATAGGGCGTGCCAGCGAGGCGGGACCTGGCGCGCCGCCAGCTCGTTTTCCACAAGTTGTTGAAACGCGTAAGCGATAAC